TCATAAAAAAAAAATAAAAAAATCCAGATATACATTCACTCTCTGTCTGCATGTGTCTTTTCTGCTGTCTCAGAAAATCTGGAATTTATAAGATGAACTCAAACTAACATTGAAACAGATGTTTTAGTACATGTACATGTGTTTTACTTCCTCAGGCACTCTTAACCCTAAAAGCCAACATTACTCAAACATCCATCTCATTCCATTTATAAACTAAAAGATTTTACTTTAATTTAATCTCTGAATCTCACATGCTTTTAATTCTTCTCCCACACAGTCAGTCAAACAACCAGAAAGTAAAATCTTAAGCAAAAAAAAAAAAAAACAGTGGATGGAATTAATCGATGGAACAACATGGGCAGCAGCAGGCCAATGCCTCATCAAGGTAACATTGTGCAGCAATTAAACATCACACCTTTCAAAGAAACTATTTCCCTCACTCTGCAAAGGAAAATGCTGCACATGCCAGCATACTAAAAACTCCCATTCTTCACTCACATGCGTGTTCTCCTGCCTGTGTTGTAGCGGTGTGAGTGCGTGCACCTAACCACTTTAAAGTCTGTGAGTTGCCTATTGATCCCCGTGTATCGGGCAAGTTGTCCTCTGAGGAAAGAAGGGAAATGAAAGAAAAAGAATAAAATGAAAAAGGGGAGAGGCAGATCGATGCAGCGGGGAACAGGGAGGGCGAGCGGGGATTGAGGGAAAACACTCGCAAATACGAGTGCTATGCCGCACAGGCGAAGAGACGCACACACACATAAACACAAAAAGGTGGAGATTAAATATGAATTGGGGTTTTTGTTTCCTCTTTAGTCTCCTTTTAATCTGTTACCTCCCCACCTCCCATCCTGCATGGAGTTATCACATTTCGTTATCAAACATCATTTTATTTTTTCCACAGATTAATTTGGGTGACATCAATTTCCCATACAATATGATATATACAGGATAAACTTTTCATTTTTTTTTGCAAACCCTTAATCTTGACTCACTTTGAGCGTTAATGAGTCACGTTTAGTTAGAATTGTTTCTGCATGGGGAAAATCTGTGAGACTCAGCATTAATAACTATATTCCCTCTTATCAAAATGTTCATCTTAGATCTTTCTTCTACCAAGCTATAAATAAAAATAAAATCTGCATTTATCGCTCCCTAAGCAAATTGAATCTTCAAGATGTTAAGTGTCCAGCAAGGACAGATGCAAGATAAGAATGTTGATTAAAATGTGTCTTTGCAAAGAAAAGCAATTATTACACGGTCAGCATGAGTCCTGCCACGTGTTTATTGTACTGACTTTAAGCCTTACTGGCAGAACAATAGCTTTATCAATCTGGCCTTCTCTCACACATGAATGTTTTAAAAATATCAGGTCATGATCTGCCACTCTGTACTTTTCAGTTCTGTAAGTTTTTATTTTGGGTTCTCAGTCATGCTTTATTTTGTTATTCTGTTTTATCAATAATTATATAAATTTTGCTATTATTTATTCCTGGATCTACTTTTAGTTAGTTATTCTTTCTCTTATCCTTTGGTTATGTTATCTCCAGTCCCTTCTCTTTTCCTCTTGTTTTCGCCTTGGTTATTCCTTATTTTGTAGTCATTAGTTTTATTCCCCTTTACCCTTATTCAAGTTCCTTTCTAGTTACAGTTAACCCCTGTTTTCCCTGGTTTCTCTTTGTTGCCCCCTAGTGGCGATTCCCCCTTAGCTCCTTTCTAGCTGCCTCTGTCCACACATGCTCCCAATTAACTGATTACTCTGCTCTTTGTTCTGTCTTCCATATTAATCGTCCTCTGCAGTTCATTAGTGCTGGTTGCTAGTTGATGCTTTGCTCTTCATGTGTTGTTTCTCTCTGAAGTCTCTTGTTTTTTGGTTTCTTGTAGTTTGTTATTGGATTTTGTTTCTGTTGCCCTCTTTAATTAAATCTGAAAGAACACATCTCTGCCTCCTGATCTCTGCATTTGGGTCTTTAACCAACTTCCACCAATCTGACCTCACTACAAAGGTGAAATTTCCATGTAAAAAAAAAAGAAAGCACACTTATAGAGGTATTTACAATGTCTTTGATAGAAACAGAAGCATTTTAACTTTCTTTAGAAGTTCATAATTGTGATATGAAGGAAGGATCATCTGCTCCAAATAGGAAGGACCAGAGGACTTGTTTTTTCCAGCAGGCCACACAAGTGTTTATCTTCAGCATTCATTTCAAAACAGAGCTGCTTTCCTTAGCTACTAGCCACTGATTTGAATAACTCAAGTTTGTCTTACTTCCATGTGCAGTGAGCAGGACAGTAAGGGGGTATCACCGTCACAATAAAAGAAGGGAATGTACAAAAGAGTTGCATCCTGGGGTCACAGAATATTTGACCAGATTAGCAACAAATGTTACTGATCAAGATCAAGCTAGCATGAAACAAAAATGAATACCTGGAAACGGCACCTTATGCCTAGTGTTAATTACAGTGGAAGATCTGTGATTCTGTGGGCCTTTTGCTCTCCCAAAGGCTCTCAGGAAATTATCAGGCAGCACTGCATCACTGAATCTTTAAATATCAGACAATTTTTAAAAATTCCCCTGGCTTCAGTCATATAATTAAAAATGAGTCACCATTGTATAATTTAGTCAAATAATGATCCAAAACACGGTTCCCGCATCCAAGACTAATCATCGTAAAAAGACTGTGGTAGGAAGAATGGTTAAAGATCCCTCTTAGTTTATGCATTTACCTAGTGCATTATTACAGTAGAATTCAAAATGCAATTAAAGTGATACAATATTTACAACAGGGACTTTTGTACAGTTTCTGCAACACACAGTTAAGCTTTAGCAGCTAAAAGTTTTGCTTTTATTTCACAAATCATGTAAAGGAGTTTCACAAATCTACCAAATAGATTAAGATAGAGTGCACCATTATATTTATCCCAGTTCTTTCTTTTTTTTTTATTCGTGTCTCTCTTTTATTTCAGTGTCAGTCTCCCACTCCTTCGCAGGGACACACAGCCCCACCCGCAGTAATGACTAAACCTCCTGCTGCCCCACCCTACCCAGACTGCCAAGTTGCTGCCAACACCTCAGACGCACAAATACACATTTGCACCAGGTCCCACCACAGCTGGTACAAAGAAGTCATAGACTCAACTGTTTTGCTCGTATGCTTATCCACACGCACCAGTTCCACCCGTCTCTCAGTTAATGCTGCCCGTGTCAGTGCCCTGACACCAGACACACACAAAATAGTCTATTCTGATCTAATGTGATCAGAGCAAATAAGCTCTGTGGTGCTGGCGAACCACAAACTATGCCTGCCAGTACATGACATCACTAAGGAGTGAAAAGCATTATGGTCCACAGAGTTGGGCGAAGGAAAATGAGTGACAGGTGGGAGCCATGGGAACAGTCAGTTAGCCACCCCCTGTTGCCAAGACAACGGGAAAGTTTCCCTGTGTTGTGAAGTTTAAAATTTGATTCTGAGGAGAAAGATGAATGCGGCTGATGGGAACGGGAAATGATGTCATGGAGGCATGTACGTAACAGATATGAACACAGTCGTGCGGGAAGCTTTGCTGGCAGGCATATTTTGCACAAGCTCTGTAAATACGATTAGAGGCAAGCAGATTCCTACGTAGGAGTTCACCACATGAGATCTACTCCATGCAGTCGATTCAAAGGGAAAATCATTTGAGGATAAAAGTGTATTAAAAGAGGCATTCTGATAACTAATGTTCCTGGCAGGAGGGATCTTGGATTCAGGGCTGAACTCTGAAAAGTCTGGAAGTAAATAAAACCAAAGGTGAACGATATGGTTGCATCACATAACAATCAGTACTTTGCTTTTACAAGAATATTTCTATGCCTTTTTTATTTTTACATTTCACAAAACTAAACTTCTGTGACAGAACATACAATCTTGCATAACTGTAGTGCAGTAGAATAAGCATACGTGTTCTCCCCAATGGTGTGTCTGAGTTATAGAACATATTTTACTAAACTTAATAAGTATTTAAGGGGAATATCATTTTAGGCTTCTTTCTATGCGTATTTGCAAAAATAATTCAGTCTGATTGGGTGTTGAGAAAACATAAAAACTAAGTGTAGTCTTAGATTCTAATTTGGTCTTTACTTTAATTGAACAAATCTAACAGATGCAAATGGCTTAATTTTCCCAGTGTTACCGTTTGCCTCAATGTGTCCCTAATAACTCTATTAAGTTTTTACTTCACTGATGAAGAAATTAATACCCAAAGTACGGTTCACCAACTTTAATGTTTCAAACTAGGGATGATGTGTTCAGGCTTTGTGTCTCAGTCAGAAAGTCACATGTCAGTCTAATGTCACCAGAGCAATTTAATCTATATGTTTGCTGCGTCCATGCCATGAATTATGGCAAACTTTTAATGGGACAGATTTGTGATTAATAATTTTCCTGCCAACCAATTATATTTATTATTTTTTTAGGCCCACCAAAGTTTGCTCTTTTTCTGAGTAATGTTTTTTCTCCTGTTCTGATAGTTAAATGAACAGTCATATCCTGGTAGCTTTCCAGTTTTGCCATACAATGTCAACTATCAAGGGATAGTTTTAACATTGCTTTATAATCCATCCTACTATATATTTCTAATAAAAAATGTTTCCCTGAGTTGTCTGCAGTGTTCCTTGATCTTCATGATGCTGATGTTGTTTGTTTATTAATGTCCTCAGTCAACCCTCTGAAGCCTTCACAACACAGCAGTATTAATACTAAGGTTATATTAGGGGATCTATTTACTAAATAGGTGACTTATAAAAAAGTTTTTTTAGTTAGAGGTGTTAGCGTAGAGGTGGTTAAATACAAATGCGGAAGTCATAATCTTGTTTATTTTGTAGTTATGCGTTAGCATGTATGTATTTATACCATAAACCATCAATGTAACTGCAGCTGTAGAGTTTCTTTGAAGTTTGTAGCCGTGATGTGATAAAATGTGAAAAGATAACACTGAAGGTGTGTGTGCTTGTTCTGCTTACTCTTAGCAGTGACTGGGATTCTTCTTTTGTGGAACTGCCTTTCCCCTCTTGTGCTCCTGCCCCTCCACTCCCTCCTCCGCCACCTGGATATGGCTGTGAAGGCATCTGGTTCTGCTTCTCCCCTACTCCTCCTCCACCTCCTCCTCCACCTGCTGTAGCTCCTCCTGGTCTCCCTCCTCCCAAAAATGACTTTGAATCTCCCAAAAATGTCTTGGTGTCTCCCAGGTAAACCATGCCAGGCAAGGCTACGCCCCTCTTCTGCTGCGAGCCTTCGTGATTGGCTGAAACGAAAGAGACGGAGAGCGGGGAGGGGAAAAGAGAGGGGCTCCCACCTCCTCCTCCTCTTTCAGGCCCCATCCGCTCCTTGGGTACCCAGAGTAATCCATGGGCTTGTTCACCTCCTCTTTCACCCGGTCCTCTCGTCTCCCCAAGAACCCAGCCCCTCTCCCGCTCTTTCTCCTCTGCTCCCTCACTCTTTACCATACTGGTACCATCCTCCTTGCCTCCCTCTGCCAGCCGTCCTTCAGGTGGAGCTAGAGAGTAGAGGAGGCGTAGGTCCCCCTTGCTCTCCTCTTTAATTGCTAAAGTAGAGGGAGCTGAGCAGCCATTGGCTGAGGGCACCAGAGAAGGTGTCACTGAGGTGGGCAGGGAGCTTAATGATTGAGAGGAGTCTTGGCAATGGGCAGAATTAAAATGGTCAAGGAGGGCTGATGAATCAGGAGCCGTGAAGTCGCAGTGTCGGCAGCGGCAACAAGCGTGGACACGCCTGGATAAAAAGAAAATCACAAATTTGTACTTTCAGTTTTAATCAGTAAATGAGACTATGCCTTTGAGAGTCATCAAAGCTAGTAATGAGTCATTACAGTAGTACAATAATGTGGCTGAGGGCAGACCTGTAGACATTGTTTCAATGTCTTTGCAGAGAAGAGTCACTTCATCTTTACATTTGCTTATTTAAATCAATAAAAGCCACTCATTCAGTCAACCTGAAACCAAAATTGCACACAGAACGAAGAAAATTCAACCCCCGGAAATGAATAAATCAAAACTGCATTTGGCGCTTCTTATTTTTCTCAGAGCAGTCATGTCTTGACTTTCAGGGAAGTCGTGGCCAAAAAGTGAGTCAGAGTTCCACTAAATCACCTCGAATTACTTGAAAATGGTAAAAAGCTTAAATGAATCTGAACATCAAGCAATGAATCAACCATCAACAAGCCACCTTCACTTCCTGTTGGCCAAGCCCCTGAAGGGTACGCTATATTTCCAAAGCAAAACAGGGTAGGTTTTTATTTGTTTCTTTTTCCTGGCACTAAAAAGTAAATGTTGGGTGGACCGACAAGATTAAAGAAGAAAATCAATAAACCATCTTTAAGAAACCTATACCCACACAAACTCCCTCTCAGTATGGCCAGAAAAGTTACATTAACATAACAGAGCAGTTATAGAGCATTCGCTTTTAATATGGAAGTTATCTATGTGTTTCTCAGATTACTCAACTAGTCTCTTTTAGAAAATTGCTTTAATATTAATATACATATTGGATATTTCACTGCCAATTCTGAAGGGAATCTTTTTACCTACTTTGTACTTCAGAAACAGAAACCATATGCCCTTTAGCCTTAAGTCAGTCATGTTAAATAATTTGCAACTGTACAATGGTTTTCTTAAGTCTTGCCTCCGATGTGGACAAAATTCTTGGCTTTGGCAGGTCCATTAAAACACTTACACAAGTGTCATTCTAAATATTTTCATTGCATTTTTAGGTTTATATTTACTGTGAAGTTATTACCTTCAGTTCCGGTCAGAAGGGTTCAGCAGCTTCTAACAGATTTTCCTCCAGGGTTGACATGCATTTACTTCATCTGTCTTCCCATCAATTATAACCATCTTAGCTCTCTTCCTCACATTTTGCATGCAGGCATTAAACATTATCAGTTATTTTTTTCCATACTAACCGAATTACATGTCTTGCTATGTTTGCTATGTCCCCTTACTGACTTGTACTAAAACTTCTGAGACTTTCTTTTAATGATTATTTCCCACCGTTCTTCCAAAAAAGGCAGATTTATGGAAGGCACAACTAATTATTGTCATGTTGACAGTTTCTCTGTCGCTATCTGCTGCCTCTCGAACTAAAGCGTGGGCTTCTCAGCTGCTTTTTAAAGTAATTCTCTTCTTTTTTTGTCCATTTAGCTAGGCTGGAGTCTCTTTGTTGGCTTGTGTAATACTTTTTTCCATCTTTGATCAATTGAAAAGGAATCTGCGACATAGGGAGAACTTGGGACATATCCCGAACTAAATAGCTGACCTGACTTTTTTGTTTCTTGTTCTTCATGATCTAGCTGTTTTTTCACCTAATGCTCTTTTACAAAACTCTGAGGCCTTTATAGAAGAGCGACATACCATGTTTACTAAGTAGGTGACCTCTAAAGGCAATTGGTTGCACTGGGTTTTATTTCAAATGTGGAAACCATTTCATCACCTTCCACAAATTCCACATTTCTATTTAGTGCTTGAAATTTCAAAATAACTACACTAAAGCATCTGATTGCAACATGAAAACATAAAAAAAAAAAATAAAAGGATATGAATACTTGTTTTACGGCATTGTACTGGCCTGATAATAACTTCAGTTCTCTTTTCAAGGCCATTGTTTTGGCAACTCAGTCATGTATAACCAATGCCTCACTCGCTCTTTTCCTATGCTCAGATGTCACCCAGCAGCAGTAATCTGCTAAACACTGGCTACTGCATTCACTTGGCTTTCTCTCAACAGCAGCTTCGTATTGATGCCCTGCAGTGTGAGTATTTTACAACAGCAGGAGATACAGTAAGCATGCCAAAAATGTCAATGAGAGCAGAAAAACAACCTCCGTGTACAGAAGATGCTCACACAGAAAGAAAAAAAAATCAATGAAATAAATTTAGAGGTATAAAACTCAGATGTGAGGATTAAATAGATGTTTTTCTCTTTTCAAATAAGCTATAACCTGAGTCGCCAGCTGCTTAAAAAACATCTAGCTCAGAGAAGTGATCTAAAATCCAATGGGTTTAAGGAATGTCTTTCCACTTGACAGGTTTGGTTTGATTAAAAGCCACTTTGATTATTATGTAAGGGCAGATCATTTAAAGCAGTTTGAATGTTGTCATTCGCACCCTAGGGGCAGCAAGCTATTGGACCGAGACCGTTTAAAAAAGTCTCATTCTGGTTTAAAATAAACAGAAATAGGAATGTTCAAAGATCAGCTAGAGTTTTATATTCTTTTTTCTATTATTGGGTTATAAATTGCTTATCATAATGCTTGGAGCACCTTTTCTAGTGACTGGGAAACAGAACCTCCTGGCAATATTTGCAGTCTGAGATGTTTTAATGCATTACTAAAGACTATGACTGGTGTATTATTTCTAATCCAATTTCTGGTCACACACAGCAGGGTCTATCCGATAGAAAAAAGGAATCAGACTTCTTCTAAACAAGGCCTTTTTGCACCTAATAGTCTTGTAGCCACACCCTTAGGGTGAAGTCTGTTCTATTGAAATTGCAATGTGTTTAATGGCCTTGTTATGACGTTCTGTGAGGTTGGGTGTGGGAAGCCTGTTTTTACAACAAAGCGGATTCTTGAACGGAGACTGTGTTGCAAAAACAGGGGGAACACTACAATAAAATTGATTGTCTAATTCAGTATAGTTGGTTATAACTGGCAGTGTTTTTTAGTTAACTGTCTTTGCGTCCATCATGTTTTATCATATAAAGTGTGTTGTCTAGTTGTTTTTCAAATTGTAGTGTTGTAAACTTCTTTTTTTGCCCTTTCATATAACTTCTTTCTCTGCTTTTTAGGCACAATTTATTAACACTATTTTACACCATTGAAAAATTGTAATATCAGGAAAAAAATATCCTCAATATAAAAAAAACCCAAAACAAAAAAGTTGGAATGAGTCCTGAAAAAAAGTGGACCTGCTTCCAGCTTAAAGTGACAAAGAAAAATGGCCAAACATTTTTATTCAAGATTTTGCTAATAAAGATACTTCAGTCCTTTACGGCAAATTATTATTGCTGCTCACTGCAGTGAGGTGAAGATTCTCTCACGAGCAAAGAAGCTGCCAGCTGAAGTGTGTGCGACAGAATTTGACCTAAACTGATAAGCGCTAACTTTGATACTGGCTCTGAAACCCATAATGTCAGGACACCATCTGGCAATCATCATTAATAATAAGTTGGGAGGTCAACTAACTATCTGACTTAATGGACAGGCTGACCTGCTGGGATAGACATTAAGCCAGCATGCTTGTGTAAATGTTCAGTCATCTGGGTCATCGCAATCAAAAAAAACAGATTTAAAATAGGAGGCATCCTGACTTTCACTAACACTTTTATGAGTCTGTCGGTTCTGTTAGCTCCCTACATCAAGGTCCATCCTCCTAAGCACAAGTCAGAAATGAAAGACCAACCCATCGTCCACCTATGTTTTTGTGGTCTTTTGTTGTGTATGGGCCTGAGATGGGGGATCTGGAGTCAACAAGTCATTTCTTTGTCATGTATTTGTTCTACCCAGCCACTGAACCAGGTCAGTCCAATCTGGTTTAACCTGGGCAGATTGGACTTACCTGGTCAGAACAAATACATGACATAGAGATGACTTGATGACTCCAGATGGTATGGGCTTATTGTTATCCCATTTGAATCATGAAAACCATCCGTCTTCTGTCTAAAATCTAAACATTTTAATCGTCAAAGGTGTATCCTTTATTCCTGATGTGAAGGTGTACAGCAGAATCCTGCCCAGAGCTACTGGCCCAGTGTAATGTGCCACGCTTCAGTGTAGTTGTTTGATTTTTCCAATATTGGAGTCTGAACAGTCCGTGCTACACTGGAAAGCACAAGTGCACCACTCAGCTTTGGTTTGGGTGCTCTGTCCTTGGGATGAACCACTTTTTGTCTGTGTGAGTTGTTGAAAACACTCGGTTTGAAATCCACCTGTATGTTTTGTTAGAAAAAATCCTTCTGACTCTCTCAGAAACTCCTGACACATATGAAATTACACCGTTTTTGTACCTCTGTTTTCTTATATCTGTTAGATGCAGTGTTGTTTATCCTGCTAGATTTTTTGGGCCGACTTAAGAAACGCTCAGTTTGGATAACAACATGCTTCAAGGGATTTCCTGACAGTAACATGTTTGTGTTCTATTCATATTTTCTGTGCAACTGATGGAATATTGTCAGCCCGGTAACAGAAGGCTGTGTTCCAGAGGGTGATATGAGTCAAACTGCAGGTATTGGTCTGTATGTTTAGGTTTCTGGTAACTCAGTATTAAGACTCCCATTGTGCTCATCGTGAACAGCACAACGCAGAAAGGGCAACATGTTGTTCCTGCATTCTCTCTACTGAGGTGTCATCCACGTATCTCAACCGGGCTGTGTTTAAAAAGAAATATACACTTTACATACATTTTTCATACAACAGATAAAATGTGACAAAAATTAAATGTGGTGCAGATCAGAGCACTAACACATGTAATTTTGTCACATGTTATCTGTTGTATAAAAAATGTATGTAAAGTGTATCTTTATTTCTTTGGGATATTGTGTCGGCTGAACAGACGGGATCTCTAAACCCGAGGTTTTAATAAATTCTTGTTGGAAAGAAGCAGTCTGGTAGTTTGATTCTCACATAAACCAACGAGTAAAGCTTTTTAAGCTCAACATTATCCTGGTCGTGAATCGACAGAGCGACTCCTGAACATCATGTCAGATCTGACATGGGCCTTTTTGTTTTCATCTATTTTTGGAAATGAACCAAAGAGCATTCAGCTTAGCTTCACTGAATAAGAATTAATAGGCTACTTTTATATTTCTTTAACCTGCCTTTAGCAATTACAATCTGTCTTGTTTGGTCGTTTAAAAGAGATATTTTTTTTCACAACCTGGTTACACTTAATTGTTCGCTAAAAAATATGGAGTGGCTGCAAAGATTTTCTGCACCTTTAGCTGTTTGATAAAGTTGTGAACATAAGATTTATTAACTCCAACTGTAGAGTAGTAATGCTTTAACCCTAACCCCCTTTAACCTGGAATAAAGAGTTGAGAAATGCTCAAACAGTAGGTCAAGGTATATCAATAATAAAGAAAAAGTCTGTTCTTAGCTGCATTTTTTAGCTACAGTACCAAGAAAAGGGAGGTATCCTGTAAAGCTGAATATTTTAACTCTAAATCAAACAATACAATTAAAAGTTAGTGTACTGCAGTTATATAATGCACTATTTTATTCATTACTGAATGTTAGTGACTGATCTTTCACTGCGTACAATAATACAAGCTGGTGACTTTTTCCCTTTAACACTGCAATCCTTTCTTTTAAACACCATTAAATTAAACCCCGAACTTGTTGTCTAAAACTTTAGAATCCTTTTAGCTTTGATTGATTTTACTGGGAGCACAAAACTTTGTGCCTTTGTTAAACATTTATTTGATCAGAGGAGCTTAGATTTTGTTTGGGACATGACTGGACTGTAAAACAAACATCTCATAATTGATTTGACACCTCTTTCTCTCCTATTCTCTCCAGGGTTTCCCATCTCTGATTATCTTTTAATTTTCTTCCCTACTTTAATTTCATTTTGCAAAGATTATTCAATTTCACAGCATTCTCTCTTTTGTTTTTTTCCTCTTTTCTATTCGTAGCTTTTCTTTATTTTCGATCACTAAAATTACCTAATCACATGCTAAAAAAGCTCTTAAATTGTAGGACTGACTAGGATACTCATTTCATATCGGTTCTTTGTATTTTTGAATATTTGACAGCTAAATCTGGAAACCTCATTTACACTTAATTGTACCTGCAGGTCTGATTGTACTTATGAGACACATACTGTAAAGCCATGCTTGAAGTCTTCCACAATTTCTGACATAAATTATAGCCCAAAACTGTTGAAACGACTGCTGAGCTTCAGAGAATGAAGACCATCATCAGGAACAGAGCTAATTTGCATTTGGAAAATATAAGGCTCAGTAAGTGAGGTTCATTACTGTTTCAGATTTCTGACAGCTTTTCCAAAGTCTAGGTCGAATTGCAGAGGTAAAATTATCCTCAAATGTCGGTTCCTCCAGCCTGTGGCAAGAAAAACTAAAGAGTGAGTGGGGACCACTGTGATTTAGGAATGCACGGTGCATAAGAGAATCTACAGATCTCAAAAACCAACAGTAAGATTTAACATTACAAAATTCAGTAATTGTATTAGGGCTTCTGAATATCATAATGTTGTGTTTTTCACTGTTTAATTGTAGTTACAGACATCACTGTTTAAATTACTTGAGCCAACCTTGTTTAATTGCTTTATTTACTACTATTTTTCAACAGTTTGTGTTAGTTTGTTTTTACAGTAGCCTGATTTATTGGTTGAAAAACAGGGTTCCCTTTGCTTGTTTGTTGGCTCTTTCACAGGACGATTGGTTGGTTTGTTACCTGACCTTATTACTTGTTTATCTGGCTGTATGTTGTTTCAATAGAAGGTTAGCTGGTCCAACCTAATTTAAATAACGCTACATATTAATGAATAACCATTGGTCTGGAAAAACCAAAGCATATTAGGGAAATAAATCTAGATTTAACAATCAAAACAGTATTGCTAGGCATGTCTAATGTTATGAGATTATCCTCCTTTAAGGGGGAAAATATTAACTTTTTCCTAAGAAGCACTCAACTTTATCAGTCACAGATGCATGCGTAATAAAAACATAAACATACATTAGTCACTGTATGTTATCCAAAAATTGCTAAGACATGCATTTTCATATCTATCTGTGAGATCAACAGTTTAACCACAATTACACCCACAAACAGTCACTCAGGTCCGCAGACCAGTTGCACCGGGTCATTCCCAGTTCAAATCAGAAACTGGAGGAGAACTGACCTTCTCTACTGGGGCCCTAGTTTGCAATTAGACATGCTCCTTCTCTGTCCCTCTTTAATACCCACCTAAAAACCCTCCTACTCAGTGGCTTTCAGCCACTTCAGCAACATATTTTTACTACTTTATCTGTTTTCTGTATTTGTTTTATCATGTTTTGTAGCTGATCCTCACAAATTGTGTTTTAGTTTGACCTTTTTATCCCTTTTTCTTATTTTTTTGTTTGATGTTCTGCACTTTGGTGGCTTGTTTTAAAGCACTTAATGCATAAAAGTGATGATGATTTTCAGCTTACCTGTAGTGTCGAAAAAGCTCTTCTTCCACTTGTGTGGCAAAGTTACACTTTGTACAAGTGTGCTCAATCTCTACTGCTCCTCCTCTCCCTCCTTCCTTATCTCCCCCAGCCTCCTCCTCAGCCTTGACTTGCGGAGGTGCCCCCTTTAGGTTGATCAGGTTGTGGAAGCTCTCATAGTGTTGCAACAACACATCAATGTCGGTGGTCACAAACGCACATTGGTCGCACAAGTGAGTGACACCTAGAGGGTAAATCAGTATTAAAGAATACCAAAACTATAAAAAGGGGTCAATTTGTCTGAAGAAAAAAAACAAGCAAATGGTAGTGATTTGCTCCTCCCATGGCTTCAAATACCTTGTGCAACAACAGGATGTGCAGGGTTAGAAGGGTGAAAGGTGGAACTAGAAATCACACTGGGGTCGCCTCTTGGGTTAGGAGGGGTCACGCTGGGTGAGGTGGCAGCAGTAGGTTTTGAACCGATGGGGTCCTGCTGCTTGGTGGGCTGAGGAAACTTTGAACAGCATTTAGGGCAGGTTGGTTTCCGACAGGCAAATGGGTGGGATACCTATTGAGAGAAATGTTTAGTCAAGCACTTGTTTCCATGCTACACTTTCTCTTTGTTTTTTTGTCAGAACTGGGTTGATGAGTTTGAATCACATGAAAAAATAAAAGTGGAAGTCAGCAAAAGCAAAATTATTGTGCATTATTAATAAAAAGCCTAAAATATTAACCATCCTTTTTGTATTTTCAGCAGCTAAAACGGCTCTGTTTGGCAGCTGACACAAAGGAGGGCAGGGAGTGTGCGTGGGCAGATTCAGAATAACAAGGGAAATTTAACTAAGCAGGAAACGGGAACAATTATCTTCACACTTGTTAGTGTATTTCATTTTATTTTCCTTGCTAAAAAATGGTTTATTTCTTCCCAGTAATTGCAGAGACAACACCAAATGTTTCAGGTTTTCATACATCTCACCTCTCCCAGGTGTTTCTGGGGCTGGCAGAGCCCCCGAGGACAATACATGCAGTGCTGAATACAACAGCGGTGGATGGAGTGGTTGTGCTGGTAGTGCAGCAGCAGCGGAGCTACGATGATCACGTCTGCACTGTGGGCCATTGAGTAACGGAAATCACACAACTGACAGTTATAGCTGGTCACCACAGCTTCTGAATCAGCACTTTTTGGGTCCCCTGGGAGCAGAAGAGAGAAACCTTCAGTTAAACATACAGAGAAGCGGTCTAATATACAATGCCTTCCAAAGTTATCTAAACAAATGAATCACAAATCTTAAAGTATTTAATTTGAATTTTACTTGGAAAAAAAGACATATTGCATAGTAAAATTAGGGGGAAATAAAACATGGTTTTAAAACTTCCTCACAAATAAGTCTATTTCCATTGAGTCAATAATTTGACTGTAGATAAAACAGAAAATATGTATACAACATCCCCTAAAACAGTGATTGATATGGATATAGTTTTATATCCAAACCCAAATTTAAACCTTTTCCAACTCAATATTCAGGACCTTTCTGCTGTGTTCCTTAGTATTTATGTTTATCTCATTCTCTTGGCAGATTAATGTGCAAATTTATCTGAATGAATGTTAACCAAAAGTAGAAAAAGTTCCACCACACCTCTTTCATTACCTTGGCTGGTGGTGAAGTGATCTTTGCAGCTTTTGGATACCATGTGATCTTGTTCCCCTCTGTCTCTTCTTCCTCCTCTCTCCCTCTCTCTGTCCATCCCAGCATGGCCGGAGCTATTAGGGCTTATAGCACCACCAGAAGCGACTCTATGTCTTTGTTCAAAGTGCTCTAAAAGCTTTGTCGAACCCTCTGACCACTCGCACTTCCAGCTGCAGAGTTTACACCAATAAGCTGCCTGTACAGCTCCCCGAGCAGCCTCCCCCGTCCAACTGGACGCGTCAGAACCCTCCCTGACCGGGACGAAGTACCCAACCACGGAGTCGTCTTTACCCCGCACCGCCACCCGCTCCATACCATCTAAAACCACACTCCTCCCTTTCAGCTGGCTGTCGTTCGTCGGCAGGTTATTTGCGGCCAGCAGGGGTGTGGATGGGGGTGATTTGACTTTGTTGGGATGCAGGGACAAAAAGTGTTGCTCAAGTTCCAAGGAATTACTGCCCATGTACGTAAAGTTGCAGAATTTGCAGCGGAAGTACTTAGTGTTTCCTTGGCAGTCGGATGTCTTGCGGCCAATCCCAATTAATGTGCCACCCAACATCACCTGGTGAGGAGAAAAGAAAAGTTAGATAATAAAGACATAAAACTATCAGACTGAAGACGACTGCAAATTTAAAAGAAAAACATTAAAACAATGCATAATTTCTCCTTTGCAAGACAACTATTTCACAATCAATCAAACATATTATTTAGTTGTAGAGTTATAAAATCATAATACTAAGCTTTTAGAGTACTTAGATCAGTACTTTATCAGTTAAAGGTGTATAAATATATTGCATGGTACTGTCCAGGCTCAATTTGCTACTAAATAACAAGAGCAGGTTTTCTTTTTTCTGTCATCTGGGTCACTAAACAGGAGAGATATTTAAGCCCAACTTATTTGTGAGATCTATAATTTAAAGCCGGGGGGGCAAATCTAATTATCAACTTCAGGACCTAATAGTCATAATTATCATTATTTTGTAATTTGCTGAACATACAATGAAAAATAATGATGTGATAGTTAAACAGATGGGCTTTCTCTCTCCTTGACATTATCTTGCACTCTGCAGTAATTCAGATTATGATTACTTTTATAGAGGACTTGTAAACTGTTTTCAGTCTCAGTTGTATTCCAGGGATATGTAAATGCGTATTTCTTATGTGTTTCATGATATTACCAGGATTACAACGTTTAGATGGCACACTTAAATATAATACTTTCTTATTTCATCGGCATAGATTTTTGCCTTGGTAATTTATTCACTTCACACCAAAGGAAAACACCACAAGGGGAGAATAAAATTGAGGGAAATAATAAAAAGCAAAACATGTTGTGGAAGAGCGCACAAATCTAGAAACAGGGATGAGTAAAAGGAAAGAGGTGAGAGAGATAAAAAGTAAACTGAGCAGTTAGAGGAAAATCAATTAAATACTTTGAAAGAAAGAGCAAGGGAAAAAAAGTCGAAACAGAGAAGACGAAGACGTTTATTATAAGGGAGAAGAGAGAAAAAAAGGGGGTTAAATATGTCTGACAGCTGTTTCATCAGACTCTCTAACAGTCAATTAGAACTGCAGCTTCTCAGTCTATTTCACTACCTCCTTTCCTTCCTCTGTCTATATATACATCTAATTTTTCTTTTAAATAATCCTATTATTATTTTTCACTGGTTGACAGGGATCTTAGTAAATGACTAGATGGAATTTTCCAAAGGTTGGCTGAAACCAGAAAAATTGAGTGAGAGATGGAGAAAATAGAGATCCCTTTCATCCCGCCCCCCTTTTTTTCCTAATACTTTCACTTTTTCTTCATAATGACGATTTAAACCCACTGGATTTTCTATTTCATCCACTGCTGTGCTTCTCTGTGTCCATTATGTGACTTCCCAACATTACCGGCAGCTTGATTAAATGAAAGAAAACTCATCAATTATTTTTCTCACATTATAGAAAGTTTTTGTTTAAAATCCTTGCTGTTTCTATTCCCGTAAAGTCCTAATCCTTAATTCAATTCGTCCCGTACAATAAATTACAGAGCTAGAGCCACTATAGAAGAGGAATGGACATGTGAAGTAGTCTTTCTTCTTTCGCACTTTAATGTTTATCATTAGCAGCCACAGCAAATCAAGTTAAGTGGAAGGTGTTGATTTTTTTTTTTCAGGTCTAAGTCTGCAGCTGTTGATTTTCCTGATTAGGACTCTCTTGGTTTAAAGTGCAGCAGAATAAGACAAAATCAACTTTTTTAAGGCTGCAAGTCGTAATTTCTCACAGCTAGGATTACCATGAAGGCTTACATTCACTTTGCACATGGATTTTTTTTCTTTTCTAAAGCTACACTAACCCATGTTTCCTTTGTAATGGAACCATGAGCAGATGTCGTACGAAAGAACAGGAAAGCATGTTTAGACTTTATGCTTCATGAGTATATGTGAGGGAATCTCTGTGTTTGCTTAGCACCGTATGTGCAGCCTGTATGCCAGGTGGCCAGCATGTCTACTTTCTGTCAGTCTATAAAACTTTATAACACCGCTCAATACACACTGTTCAAATAACTAAGTATAACAATCAAAGAGTAATCAGTTCTTGTACTTGGCTCTACTTTTTTCCAATATTTCGTCAGATCTATATTTATCTGATCATTGTGGGTCACCTGGAGAGGAGAGGAGAGGAGAGGAGAGGAGAGGAGAGGAGAGGAGGTAGACACAAGATTACAAACAATGAACAAATATCCAAAAGTTAGTCACTCTATACAGCTAAATAAATAAAAACTAAAAACATTTCTCAGAAAAAGAAAACTGCAGTTTTTCAAACAATGGTACACTTGAAAATTTAATTGTTCAAGATAAAAAACAAAAAAACAAAACAAAAAACAGCCCTTTCACAGGAAAACAAAGAAAAACAGCAAATAACAGCATAGATGTAAAAAGGAAAAAAATATGACCAAGTAAAAACTGTGCAAATAGTGGGTCCAAATGTGAAACACTGACATTGATGTAGAAAAACACTTTCTTAAAAACTAGACAAATAATTTTGGGTGTATTAGATATATATTGCTTGATGAAATAAGAAAAAAAAAAAAACTGTGAAACTAGCAGCACAGTTGTAGAAACTTTTTTAAAAATCTCAGTCTTACCTGAACGTCGTACGTTCCGTTCATCATAACTGTCCTCTGCAGCGGATTCTGTGGTTCTGCTCTTGTTTTTCCAAATTCTTTGGTTTGACTTCTCTGCCCCTGTCCTGTTTGCAAATCTGACATCAGAATAGCAAAAATTGGTTAGACTGGTAAATATATAAAAAGATGATCAAAGGCTCTGAAAGAGACAATAGATAGATACATAAACAAAATATGGGGTCATGCTTTACCTAAGTTTGTATGTTGGGGGGCCATGTTGTGGAGCGCCAGGATTTGGGTGTCCAGCGCTGCATCCTGCCGTGTGCGATTGTGCAGACCCAGGTGATACTTCCTAAAGTGCTTCACCAGGTCAGCGGGGTCGTTGCCATAGTAGCTATAACCACACACATTGCACTTAAAGTCCTGGAGTTTGGGAGAAGGGCTTGATGGGAGTGGGGGGGTGTCGTTTGTCGACTCCTCCCTCCCTTCCTGCCTGGATAGGAGCCGAGGTGCTGAGGAGAGAGGCGGGGTTAGGTGGTCAGTGTCGCCCCCTTCTACTACCCTCTCACCGTCCTCTGCGTCCGACTGGCTCTCAGGTCTCTCACACAGTGCGGCTAATACTTGTTTTGCCCTCGCCCCTCCGCCTGCAGTCCTCCCCCCTTGCTGCTTGTTAAGGTAGAGCTCCCCAAGAGAGGAGATGCAAACACTCTCTGCCTCCTCCTCCTCCGCATGCTCCCCATTCCCTCTGATCCGTTCAGAAGACTCCGGTTCAGAGGGTCGGTTTATCCGATCTGCTTCCGCTGCCACTCTCTCCTCCTCATCTCCTTCATCTTCTTCCTCTCCTGTTGGCTTCGTCCCCTCTTCTTCCTCCTCCTCCTCACCTCCCACACTCCGGATAGGGGGATTCTTCTTCCTCACCATATCTAAAGATACAAAAAAGAGATATTTAGATATAGTATAATTAAAACAGATTTTCTTTGTATTTTCTTTTTACTTAACTTAACATATAATTATATGTTTTCAATTGCTACGGTTCGATTTAACCCAAATATAAAAAAAAAGACTTAATAAATTAAAAAGGCTTCAGCGGTGAAGCTGTTTTTTTCTGGTCCACATTTTTTTCCCAGCTCAATATGTGAAGTGAATTTTTTTATCATGATGGAAACCATTTGTGAGAATCTAAGCACGTGACCACATCAGAACAAAAACCATATCAGAGAGCCTGAGACTGCGAGGGCGAGGAGGGTGAGGCGCAGGGAGACATGGGAGGAGGGAGACACCATCAGGGAGCTGATGGCCACGGCGCGACCACATCAAGCCAAACACTCCGTATCAGAAAGATGGATGGCTGAGGCTGTAGATGGCAATTCATCCCCTTCAGCACTCCAAAGCTCTCTTTCGTTCCTTCTCTTTCTGCCCATCCTTTATTCATTTTAAAGCTGCAAACTGTTTCTTGTTTCTGTCCAGCCTCACTGTCCTGTCTTGTTTCTCCCTGCTCTGCTCTTCATGCATATAATGGCTTTAAAATATATATATTTTTTTATTCAAACCCTTCTGATCTGGAATTCCTAAGTAAAATCTGCTAAAAAAAAAACTTTATTCATAAACCAAGAAGGCCACTGTGTAACTTAAATGCTATAGTACACAGAGCTGCTCTGTTAAGGTCTTGATTCTTTTGCAGGATGCTGTGGAACAAACAGTATCATGAAGGATCCCAGCAGAAATGTCAGGGAAAAAGTTTTTAAGAAGCTTAAAACAAGGTTAGGATACAACTCTAAATCCCTTTTAATGACTGGGAAACTAATGCAAACTCTGGACGAGATACAAAGTTCCACAGAAATCCCTCCATGGCACATCTTTTCGTTATGCACTTAAAAATTCTCGCAGTTTTTGGCCAAATATGATTAAGACAGAGAAATTCAGGACTTTCCTGGAATAAAATCTACTAGAACCTGCAACAACCTCACTGTGGTCACTGTGGTTAAGATTCACCTTCCAGCAGGAAAACCCTAAACACAAAAGCCTTAAATAATGGTTTCTATTAATGCGTATCCATGCATTAGAATGGTCCAATCAAAGCTCAGATCGAAAACTAATCGAGAACTGTTGCGATATTTAAAATGTGCTCATCACCGACACTATCCCTCCAGTCTCACTGGCCTTCAGACAAAAAAATTCAGGATAGAGAGGAGATGGAAAAGAGGCATTCCTCTAAAAAAAAAAAAAAAAAAAAAAAATAGCTTATGAACAAACATATAGAGGGCAAATTAACCAGAATAAACTGCTCAGTCAATAGAAACATTCTGCATCTGAGCAGCAGCTCTCCTCAGTTAAACATGGTGTTGGGAGCATCATGCTGGGGAATTATTTTTAGTTACAGCTACACAGTTGATGGGGCTACATAAGAAAAACTTAATGGGTGAGAACATTTGTGCACGATCTATATTAATTATAAAATACTGCTCTAAAACCATTTACTAATCTGTTTTCTTTTGTTTCTACATTTAATTCCTCTGCACCCTCTTTTTTTCCACAAGCAACAATAATGGTTATAATAACTGAAGTAATTTCATCAATAACATTTTCTTTCTTTCTTCCCCTCCCTCTCCCCAACCATTCCTCCCATTTTTCCAACTTATAATCACTTTACGAAAGCCATCAAATAACCAGACATGTGTTTTATGTTAAACCATAATCTTTCTTTTGTTTGAAAAGAGAACAATTGTGGTCGTGTCATTCAAGACAGTCGTGACAGAAAGATATTGCGTGTTTTGGGGTGGGGGGGTTGTGTGCAAGCGTGTTTATTTGTGGTTATCCTCTTCATATTGGCTCGTAAACATGGCAAACCCATTGACCCACGTTTGTGTGTGTTTGTTTGATGGCGAACGTTCCAAGATGCCTGACAGACACGGAAACTGATCACTTTTAGATCAATGCAATGTGAGATCGGAGGGGGAAAGAGAGTGAAAGTAATGCATATTTGATGATACATCTGGAGGAGAGGTAGCCTGCAACATGCAAGTGATTTTGTGGCCAATCTGAGGTTGAAATTCTTGTTGTAATTTACAGAGAGCGACATGTAAACTCTTTATCAATCAAGATAAGCACTCTAGCATGAAGAGGTTTGGGAAATGGGGTAACGTTTAGGACAATCATTTGCAAAAGCATCCAAACACATAAAATCAGGACAATCAGTTAAAAAAAATCCTGAAATGCAACTAAGACAGATCAGGAAATAAGGCGAAAAAAAGAAAAAAAAGGACGACTGATTTTCATTCTCTTTGTGGCCATTGTAGCATTTTACAATTTCACCCTTCTGTCTTTTTCCCCCCTCTGCACAACTATTAAAATAAAAGCAATTTATGTCTGCGAAGGCCCACGCCTAGACCAGCCCTGGCACTCGCTTCGTATGTGTGTGTATTTGTGTGTGTGGGTGACACAGGCAGCGAGTGCAGGGAGCGGAGGAAAATCTCATCTGATGTTCACCACACCCAGTCAGAATTCATCATTCACTCATACACACATTCACTTACACACACACACACAGTGGAAAACTACAGATCGTTGTGGTGAAGCAATGAAGCTGAAATCCCGACCTAAGAGGCACCGACTGACCTAAGTGCGTTTCCATCTGCTCTGTGAGAGCGCTGAGATGTTTTAGAAAGTTCATAAAAGCAACAATGATGACAATAATTGTTCTTATTAGCGATTTTCAGTAGGAAGTGAAATAAATACACCAGGAAACAATAAAAATGCTACTATTAACCGACATTTCTGTAAAATTGCAGCCTTTTAAGTCACAAAAGGCCAGAAAGTCCGTGGCGAATCCGAGCATCTGTACATCGCAGCTCGACCCCTGTGTGCTGCAGGCTGTATGCACAGACTGGAACGATTACTATCAGCTACAATTAGGTATACCCCAGTACAAAATGCCGCATAACAACTCCTGCTACTAGCCACAATTAGCCCTCAAACACCACAATAGCCCCAATACCACAACGAAGACAAATGTGACAGTTAATCATTTCCATCAGCAGCAATTAGCTCCAACACAAGCAAGGCTTTTATCTGAAATTGCCAATAATCATCTCAGGAAAGCTGCAGAAGGACCCGGCAACAAGCGGCGGGGCGAGGATCAGTGAAATATTACTGACATGGCTATTTAACCAAACCTTGCTGGAAAATGTACATTTTTCTATGTTATTTGTTTTTTTTGATGTGGGCTTTAGAGTTTGAAGCAAATTTATATTCAGTAAAATATCTTTGTTTCTATGCACTTTAAAGTTCAGCAACAGGGACAAAAGCTAAGCATAAAAGATACCAGTGTTAAACATTGATTTAAACACTTTACATTTTCTTTATTGAAAATTAATACAAATACTTTGGAGATATCTATGTAAGTTAGAATAAAAGGATAAATGTGTGGTTAATTTGTTTGCCCATAGCTGTAAGCTCATTCTTTCATTCAACATCAATTCTACTAATTTATTTACCCTTTTTAAGAGGCTATTTTTCTCCCGCTGAAGTTTATTCTAATTTTGAAATTGTTTTTGAGTTCTTGTAGATTTCTTCACAACTTTTACATAGTTTATTGTAAGGGAGCATGTATGCTTCCCTTTATCTTCTGCTTTGCCGTAGACACTAAAAGAGATTTCTATTAAACTCTGTAATATTACGTCTAATGACAGCAAAAATAACTTCAATGAAAACAATGATGTTAAAATAGTTTTTGCATAGAAAGTCAAGAACAAAGAAGACGACACAAGTTTATTGACCACAATTCTTTAAAAATTCAAAGTCAGCATGTTAGGTAACTGTTGACATTATTTTAGGCAGGTTTATTTATATGGGGTAGTCCTGAATTGTGTTACATGTGAGCTTAAATCATGTTAGCTTGAAGTACAGGTCTACTTGATAGTTTAATGTAGGTTGTCCATGTCTGAAGCCAACATTCAGTAATCATTTTATCTAATCGGGCAGAATAACATAAATGTGTAGGAGTTCTGTCCCAGGTTGAAGAACAGGAAGTTTTAATCTTGGCGAAGCCCCAAGATCCTCGGTTTGAAAAACTAAAATGCCACTCTTGGTCCCTGAGAAAAGACCCTCAGTACCACAGTGTCATGGCCGCTGCAGAAAACTGTCCACTCCTCCCAAACCGCAACGTTCCACTGGATGTGGAAGCGGCACTTAATCTCTGCTGGGACATTGCAGCTGATCACAGCAATTATAGCCAATCAGAGCGGTTCCTCCGGGTGCACTGCGGCGCAACTCTAAAGTGTCCCAGACGCGCCAGTCGCTTCTATAATTTAGCTATTGGTTCTATTTTTGCTTCGGTTGCAACTCCAACTTAGATCAACTTAGATCAAACCTACAAGGAAAAAAAAACTTTTTGACTTTTTCCAATAAATCAATCTGTTCATACAGTTTAGCAACAGCAAGAATGAGTATGAGCATTAAATGAAATAAAAACTGTTATATTAAAATTCACCTTTGATAGACAAGGTGATTAGATAAGAGCAGACACACAAGATGCTGATAGAGCCGGCAAATTAAACAATTTTCTGATTTGTTGTTCTATTTAAACTCTACAATAACAGTATTATAACACGATGATGCAATGTAAAGTAATGTACATCCAAACACGCAAAGTCACTCTGTGGTGAAAACGCTCCCGGTGGAATAGGATGTGTGGCAGAAGCTGCGGCGCAGCTGCGCCATGGTGCATACCGCATCCATGGAACCGAGGAGTAAAGATGGTTAAATATGAGGGACAGATTTCATTAGAATATACAATTGCTTTGCCAAATAAAAGTTTTATTATATTATCAAAGAGACCTTTTTCTTATAATACAGGTTTGTTTTCGTCCCTTTGGGGTCAGGATTTCTACTTATGTATTTGTGGATAAAACAAGCATGGACCAGT